AATTGGATATCAAATTGGGGAGGAGGAGTATGGAAGAAGTGAATGTTTTCAGATACTTGGGAGTTGACGTGTCGGCGGATGGATTTATGAAGGATGAGGTTAATCATAGAATTGATGAGGGAAAAAAGGTGAGTGGTGCGTTGAGGTATATGTGGAGTCAAAAAACGTTATCTATGTAGGCAAAGAAGGGAATGTATGAAAGTACAGTAGTACCAACACTCTTATATGGATGTGAAGCTTGGGTGGTAAATGCAGCAGTGAGGAGATGGTTGGAGGCAGTGGAGATGTCCTGTCTAAGGGCAATGTGTGGTGTCAATATTATGCAGAAAATTCGGAGTGTGGAAATTAGGAGAAGGTGTGGAGTTAACCCTTTCAGGGTCCGTCCCGTAGATCTACGGCTTTACATTCAGGGTCCAAACCGTAGATCTACGCCATGAGCTCAGCTCACTCTGATAAACTGTGAGTGGTACATTTGGGCCTAGATATGAGAGAATGCATCTATGTGGTATGTTTGCACCACATAAAACAGATCCTGCAGCACACTGTGTATAATGAGAGAAAAAAAATGAAATCATGATTTTTCGATTAAAACAGCAACTTTGCAGTGTTTTTTCGTATGTTTTTTATAGTTGTATTTGCGATTTCTTGGTCTCATTTGATAGAATGGAAGACATATTACAGAAATAGAGATGATTTTGATTGGTTTTAGCATTGGAAATGGCTTGAAACTGAGCTCAAAGTAGCGGAAATGTTAAATTTTTACCGATATTCAAGAGTAAACAAACGACCTCACACGTCTAATACACGTCAGCTGGTGGGTCTAATATACATTCAAAAATTTGGTGATGATATTTATACAATTATTACAGTATTGCATAACAGTAAATCTTCTATTTTTTGGTGTGAATAAAATTCATTATGTGAATAAAAAATCAAAATGGAATTTATTTGTAAAGCCTCAAAACATAACTAATGAACAGAGGAAATGTTAGTTTAGTGCCAGGAATGCCTACATTGTTCATTCTGGACCCTATTTTGAAATTGGAATATTTTGAACTTTGTGTTAAATTGGCCAAATTAACAATTTCGATCACTTTTTTTTTGTAGTTGAAACATTTTGACTTGGCGATTTTTTTTGTGCCAATCGATAGAATAAAAGAAAATATAGTGAATAGCAAAGAAATTTGGGTTTTGATTGGAAAATGTAATTTGGCCCAAAAAATGGAGTCAAAGCGCAAAATCGCCGATTTTTAATATCGCGAAATCAAATTCGCGGAGCATAATTTTTCGTCAATTTTCACAAATTTTTCGTTTACTTTTGTTTTATTACCTTCACAAAAAGATTCTTACGATTTATAAGAAAAAATAAAAATTTTTTTTTGAAAATTTTGGACACTGGTGCGTAACTCAGATTGGCCTTGGGAAACCCTAAAGGGTTAATAAAGCATTAGTCAAGGGCAGAAGAGGGTTGTTGAGTGTATGATCTTTTTAGAGAGAATGGATCAATTTGAATGACATGGAAACAAATAAATTTAGGGAAGGAGGAGGGGTAGGGGCGTCCTCGAAAGGTTTTGGAAAGGGGGGTAAAGATTTTTTGTGGGCTAGGGGCTTGGACTTCCAGCAAGCGGCATGAAGTATTAGTAGGAGTGAATGGAGGCGAAGGGATACTTGGCCCTAAAACGATCGTTGGGTGTGAGCAGGGTAATATTTAGTGAAGGAATTAGGAGAAACCGGTTTTTTATATGGGTCGGATTGAGTCCTGGAAGGGGAAGTACAATCCCTGCACTTTAAAGGAGGGGTTTGGGATATTGGCAGTTTGGGAGGGATATGTTGTGTATTTTATACGTATGTTCTGAATGTTGTACAGTGGACCCCGGTTAACGTATTTTTTCACTCCGAAGAATGTTCAGGTGCCAGTACGGGACCGAATTTGTTCCCATAAGGAATATTTTTTGAAGTATTAGCCCATTTCAGACCCCAAACATACACGTACAACGCCTTACATAATTGGTCGCATTGGGAAAGGTGATCTTTTGGGGGGTCCACGTATCTGAGCACCTCTGCAAAGCAGGGGAAAATGTTGGAGTGTGGTGAAAGTGTTAAATGATGATGAAAGTTTTTTCTTTTTGGGGATTTTCTTTCTTTTTTGGGTCACCCTGCCTCGGTGGGAGACGGCCGACTTGTTGGGGAAAAAAAAAAAAAAAAAAAAGTATATCTACCAATACACAAAATATTTTTTTTAACAACTTGCTGTAATGACCCTTGTGGGTTTAGCACCTAGTTTGATTATAATAATAAATAATTTAAAAATAAAAATAATACAGTTGGGCTTATTTGAACAGCTTTGTATATAATTTTAACTAAAGGAAAGTTAATTGTTACATGTACCTACTGAGTTTAATCACTATGTTTTGCAATTGTTTTAACACATGGCAAGGGAACATTTTCATATAGAATACTAAAATAGAACCTTACCAATAGATAATGAAAATTTAACAGTGTGAGTGGCTATTTTATAAAAACTCAAAAATACGTGGGTATATGAACCTACATAAAGAATATGCCCTGATATTTTTAAAGGAAAATATCAGGTGAATATTTAATTTTTATTATTGGCTGGTTCGGTATCTATTACACGGTACCAGTGTTGCTCGGAGTATGCCACAGATTGGATAGTTATGAAAGGTTTTATAATTTATTGATCCATTGATATCCTGTTGTATTTTCCACATTTCATTACTACCATGAATGCCAAATTCATTTAAATTACACAAATACATTTTCTTTATAAACTAATTGTCAGGGTACCACTTTGTTAAAGATTCCATTAATTATTGAGACGAGACTGACAAGCCAAATATTAATAGAAAGGTGTACATCAATGTAATTATTTTTCAAAATCTCTCTCATGAGATGATTATACTGAAAGATTGTAGTACGTACTTATCTAGGAGATTCTTAACCATTATATAAAAATAATTAAATTTTTTAAAATAAGTAAGTCAGAAATATCCCAAAAATTAGAAATGGAAACTGGATGACAGCTTAAACTATCTTTGATCATTACCTTTGTAAATAGTCAGGCATCCTGGCAGTCCACCATTTCTCTTGACTGATTATCTTGTTCATCAGAAAGCACACTAACTTCATTTCAGATACCTTCTTTAACAACCTAACATGCTCATTTTGTCAACCCCAATTCCCAAAGGTCCCACTTTAATATAAACTAGGATTTTTTACCAGAAGCCGATTTGTAATGAATTGTGACCCCTCACCACCTTTCCATTCTTTCTGCTGATGTCCTTCCTTCAATGCCTGCCTGTCTGTCTGTGTCTGTCTCTGTCTCTGTCTCTGTCTGTCTCTGTCTCTCTCTCCCCCCCCTCTCCCTCTCCCTCCCCTCTCCTCTCCCTCCCCCTCTCTCTCCCCCTCTCTCTCTCCCCCTCTCTCTTTAGCGCTTCCCCCTTGATTTAATATATAATATCCCCCTCTCTCTCCCTCTCTCTTCCCCCTCTCTCTCTCCCCCTCTCTCTCTCTCCCCTTTTTCTCTCTCCCTCTCCCCCCCTTTCTCCCTCTCTCCCCTTTCTCTCTCTCTTCTCTTAACCTCCACTGTGTGGTGCTGTACCTAACTGGAGGACATTACATAACTGAAATCCTGTAGGTGGAAATAGTGTTGCATTTGAAGGAGATATTTAAATAATGAGTTTGACACTTCTGGAAGACAATAATGATTGATGATTTCCTTCTTTGGTCACCCCTTTTTGGTGGAAACAGCTAAGTGATGAAAGAAATATTTGTTTCAAAATAATACTGCATTTCAGATAACAACTGGAACTACTGATTCTTCGCCTACTTGTAAACTTTTTAAAATGACTCATAAATTTTTAAACATACAAAATTATAATTTCAAAGATAATGGCTTGTTAATGGTCTAAGAAAACAAATGATTGGGTCTTATTTAAAATTTTGGGTTGTAAATTCTTTTCCAGCACAGCATTGACATTTTTAAATTTAATTTAAATATGCACAATTTAACTGCAACAGTCAATATTATTCCAAATCCAGCAACAGCACAGTCGACTATATATTGTACTGATAGGTGAACGGGGGTTTGTAAGAGACTGGCCCATACATCTTGCTTGCTATATGTAAAAAAATCTAAATAACAAACAAGTTTATTTTTGTTAAGCAAAATTATGAATAAAGTTTCCCTGAAAGGTTGATAAAATAAAAAAACCCAAACGAAAAGTGGAAGGAAAAAAAATGATAAGTGGACCCCGCTTACATCAGCTCCAATGCGCCCAATTATGTAAGTGATTATGTAATGATTTGTATTTAGTTTGGGGGCTGAAATGGACTATCTAATTCACAATATCCTTATGGAAAACAAATTCATCAAATGGCACCTGAACATACTTCTTGAATGAAATAACTTTAAAACCCGGGTCAACTGTATTTGTGACTGCTATTTTATCAAGACTTAAAATAGTGTATGTAAGAAAACTAAAATGATTGCAGATAAATTCACTGATAAATTACAGCTGAACTTTGCAAGCCGAATTAGGCTTCCCCACAGTTTATGTAGTAATAATTTATAATGAGCAATAGGTTTAACAAAATTAAACCCTTTTTTAAACCACTGAAACATTGATATTCGAGCCTGGAGCGATTAACTGGAGACACAGGTTGGAATGGTCTACAGTCTTTTAGGGATACTTATTATTTACAACATTAATAGTTTTAATAAGTGCTGTATCCCCCCAAGGCAGGATGAATCAAATTTGAATTTGACATTGTAAAATGTTAAAAGGGTGCTAAATGAAGTTGGGAATTAGAATTTTAAGTTTGAGATTGTTACTATAGTGTTCATCCTTTAGCAACTTCATAATTTTTTGGGTCTATACATACTCTACTTGAGACCTGGACATTGAGAACAACCCAATTGTTCCGGTTGTAAAAAATCTGAAGGTTTGATTATTGGCATTTGAAATACTGTATGTAATATAAACCATTCTTATCACTGGCATTAGCTTGAAAACATTTTACGAAAAAGCAGACGTGGTACAAATAAAGGGTAAAATATATGGTAAAGTACATTTTTCTTTGTAAAATACATGGTGTACTATAGGTTTATGTGTGAGAGGTGTACATAAGTAAGTGTCCAAGTATTTTGACACTTATTATACTGTATCATCATCTAAATTATGTTCAATACTGATATGTACCAATAGGTTCAAACATCTAATTTCCATGATAAAATAAGCACTAAAGAATTGGTAGCCTAGCATTAAAGGAATAAAAATAGCTATAGTACTTCCATAATTGTCTTCCGATTAATTGTGAGGTAGAATATTTCCTTTGTGTTGCTTCATCTTGGTGCAGGTTTTATGGGAATTTTGTGTTCTCCCTGAAATTTGGTGATAAATGTAAATTTGTACTAGATTGCTTCCCTCTTCCCTGCCTCCAAGTCTTAATTAAGAATGGATAAACCAAAATTTGAATATCTATGAAAAAAAGTATATGGTAATAATAATAATAATAAGAAAATTTTAGTTAATAATTAAAAACACGAACTTTTTTGTGTTTCCATATGCAGCAAGGTTACCTGTAACTAGTTCGAGGGTTCTTCCACCCTTGCAGTTAAACATGAATTCCTTGTTGAATGCCTGTTCATGGAGGCTGTTGATGCTAGCAGTCAACAAGCCTAAAAGACTAGCAAGGAGAGCTACAAAGAGCCAGCAAAGATAAATCAACCCCTGAGCAAAGCTCAACATATGGAAAGAGATGGGAGATGCCTGATTGGTTTCTCAATTAGTGGACCTGTGATGCAAACACTGCTATAACAAATCTACCACATATTTATGCCCTTGGATATGGGCCCTACTAATTAACTGGTGCAAATTAAGCATCAAATTTTTATTGGCTCAAGCCTTTTAATGTGTAGTTGGCCTATCCACCTTCTTACATAAACTGGATTTCTGCCTCTTAAGTGCAAAAAGTATACCCTCAAAATTACTGGTTGAAATGAAGCATTCATCTAATTGATAAGGACCAGGAACCCAGTTTCTGTCACTGTATTACTCATGTTCATTCATTGTTTTGCGAATATAATTTTCATAGTATTCTGAGGTATTTGTTTTTGTAGTTGTGATACAATTGCTCTATTTTCCAGTGGTCAAGATGAGGCACTTCTCAATACTGTATTTGGGCTACTTTTTTCGGAGGTGCAGATGGGTAATGTCTCAGTGTTTTAATAATCTTCTCTCCTTTTATTTATAAAGGAAGCTTTTGCAAACTTGCTGGGCCAGTGAGTTATACTTCTGTGGCTTGTATTGGTCAATGCAACCAGCTGGTGCCAGATTAATGGAGGCGTAAGTGTAAGTAAAGAGGGAACTTGATTTAACAGGCTGACTGTGGCAGAACGGCAACAAGATTTTTGTTTATGGATACTGAAAGGTATACTATAGTGAATGTGTGCACATGCATATATGTATTTGTTTTATGTACATGTGTACATTTTGTGTGCACATACCTGTGTGTATGCATGCATACACACAGGTATTCAAATCCTGTATGTGTACTACCAAAATTCATCAAAAAATTACACATTCCATAAAGCACTAAGAACCAAACATATACTGAACATCGACCCGTACTATATATGTATATTTAACTTTAAAATTATGTTTATTAAAGTTTAATGTTCTAGATGATTTTTGGCATTCTGTAACACGTAAATACTATACGTCCATTGTAAACCGGGACCCCTTGTAGCTATCACCCGATACATTCGTTGGGAACTGTCAGAATAACAAGCTTTTCTACACATTAGAACTATACGAGGTAGTCACTGCCTTGGAGAATATGCTCCGTGGGAATCAGAAGAGGCAGAACACTGCTTCAGAAACTGCAGGCATTTTAGATGAGATAAGCTTCACTGAGTTGGTAACCATAGCCTTGGGTGCTTACAATTGACACCAGTGGTTCCAGTCCAGACGTGGGGTGTCTCCAGTCTGAAGAACTTTTTGGTGTTCTCCCTCAGGAGTGATGCTCAGAAGTAGTTTCTGAAACAGGAAGTGCTTAAGTTATAATCTGTAGATTTGCTTATTGACTGAGTGTTCTAAAATGCTGCTTAAAGCTTAAGATGTTATTCGTTAAGATGAGCATTAAAACTTACTGATGGAGTCCACTAAGAGAAACTTGTTTTCCCTAATAAAGTATAATTTATACATTACATTGTTTAGTAATTATTATTATTATAATCAAAATCAAGCGCTAAACCTACTAGGGTCATACAGTGCTGCACATTATATAATAAGAAGCAGCAACTGTATAAATAAGTCCCATGTAGTACTGTGTACAGTATATTATCTTTATACTGTATGCCCCTCAAGGGAAGTTTCTTTACACCAGTGTAAGTTTATTCGGGTACGTATACATAAATACAGTTACAAAGATTATCATACATAGCAGCTTATGTGTAGAGAACCTAGGATAACCCAAAAAAGTCAGACAGGGGGGGGGAGAATCTTGATCCAAGAGCTCCTTCCCAGTCTTTAGATCAAAGCTTTTTACTTCCCATTTGCCTCCAGACACTGTATGACCCAAATGGGTTTAGTACTCCCCTGAATATAATAATACTAGAAAGCTACCCCTGGTAGCTTCCAGACTGTGCACCCACAAATATTGTAGCTTGAAGTTATGTGGGGCTGCTATAGGTACAACCATAATATAGAACATTTGATGGCTTATAAACAAGTAAGAGTATGTACATCACATGCATATAGGTCCATGTAAATGCTACTCCCTCAAGGAGTGTATTCTTCCTTCAAGGGAGGGTTTTGATGCTAGTATTGGTTATTTATCCAGGGAACTGGAGTTACCTTCTACTTCCATGAATCAAACCTGATTACCTCCCATTCCTCATTCCCCAGGCACTTTATAGGTTGAGCTCTTCCCTAAAAAAATAAAGAGGTTAACAGACAAATACACACTTACCAATACTGATACAGGTAGCAGACCCTGTCAGTCACTAAAGTAATTGGGCATCACTGTTTTTCCATAGGACTATATTCACCCCTCTTTTTCCTCTCTACAAACTTGAGTGGCAGACTGCCTCACTACTATCATTCACACCACAACCACGTTTGCTTCATCATTCCCAAATAAATAATTTTTTTAACACATCGGTCGTTTCCTACCAAGGCAGGATGACCCAAAAATAAAGAAAACCCCAAAAAGAAAAAACTTTCATCATTCAACACTTTCACCATCACTCATACATAATCACTGTCTTTGCAAAGGCACTCAGATACAATAGATGTCCCTCCAAACAGCCAATATCCCAAACCTTTAAAGTGCAGGGAGTGTACTTCCCATTTCCAGGACTCAAGTCCAGCTAACCAGTTTCCCTGAATCCCAAAAACAATTTGTTTCTATTCACTCCTAACATGCTCACACATGCTTGCTGGAAGTTCAAACCAATTGCCCACAAACCCTCCTTTACCCACTCCCTCCAATCTTTTCGAGGATGACCCCTACCCTGCCTGCCTTCCCCAACAGATTTAAAAGCTCTCCAAGTCATTCTGTTTTGCTCCATTCTCTAAATGATCAAACCACCTCAACAACCCCTCTTCAGCCCTCTGACTAATACTTTTATTAACTCCACACCTTCTAATTTCCACACTCCAAATTCTCTGCATAATATTTACACCACACATTGCCCTTAGACAGGATATCTCCACTGCCTCCAGCCCCCTCTTCGCTGCAGCATTTACAACCCAAGCTTCACACCCACATAAGAGTGTTGGTACCACTATACTCTTGTACATTCCCTTCCTTGGCTCCATGGATAACATTTTTTTTGTCTCCACAGATACCTCAATGCACCACTCACCTGTTTTCCTTCATCAATTCTATGGTTAACCTCGTCCTTCATAAACCCATCCGATGACAAGTCAACTCCCAAATATCTGAAAACATTCATTTCTTCCATACTCCCTCTCTCCAATGTGATATCCAACTTTTCTTTATCCAAATCGTTTGATACTCTCATTACCTTACTCTTATCTATTTTCACTTTCAACTTTCTACCTTTACATACCCAAACTCGTCCACTAACCTTGGCAACTTTTCTTAAGAATCTCCCAAAAGCACAATATCATCAGCAAAAAGTAACTGTCAACTCTCATTTTGTATTTGATTCCCCATAATTTAATCCCACCCCTCTCCCCAACACCTTAGCATTTATTTCTTTTACAACCCCATCTATAAATATGTTAAACCACCATGGTGACATTACACATCCCTGTCTAAGACCTACTTTTACCAGGAAGTATTCTCCCTCTCTTCTACACACCCTAACCTGAGCCTCAATATCCTCAAAAACTCTTTACAGCATTTAGTAACTTACTACCTATTCCTTACACTTGCAACATCTGCCACATTGCTCTCCTATCCACTCTACTATATGCCTTTTCTAAATGAAAACTTCCCTACCTTTATCTAAATACTGTTCATATATATGCTTCAATGTAAACACTTGATCTACACATCCCCTACCCATTCTAAAGCCTCCTTGCTCATCTGAAATTCTGCTCTGTCTTACCTCTAATTCTTTCAATAATAACCCTACCATACACTTTACCTGGTATACTCCGTAAACTTATTCCCCTGTAATTTTTACAATGTCTTTTGTCCCCTTCCCATTAAATAATAAGAATAATTTTTATTTCAGCATGATACAAAGTTTGTACAGAAAGGGGTGACAAATATTTAGTTGCGCATGCAGAAAGCCCATAGTTAAAGAGAGCATTTCGGGTCATGCGGTGCATTATAGGCCATGCAGTTAGTATATGTTTATTATGCACTCCATACCCATCCTGTGGGCGGTAGTCAAAAGATTACAGAGGTACATAATGGGTCCAGGGACTGGGTACCCAAAGTTTTGATAGCCGAACTTAAATTGGCTAGGCCATGCAGAAATTCGAATCATCTTATCCCATCATTCTTCGCATATAGATTTAGTTATATCACAATTCTAGTAGGCACAAAGAAGCCTTCTTTTGCTGGCTCCCTGGACCTGCCGATACTCAGGGCAATGAACATTGCAAACTCAGCAGGTTCGGTCAGCTACTCAGGATCTAATTTTCCATGCGGGTATTCCTTAATTCGTCTAATTTTCAGTGCTCTCTCACCATCGCTGGAAACAGGGTTGGTTGTGTTTGACCACAAACTGTTTTCTGTCAAACCATGTTTAGAAGTCTGGCCTTCTTCCCACCACTGTTGGGTTTTGGAGACTATTCTCTCGCAGTTAGGTCCCCTCAGGGAAGGTTCCTTGATGTTGGTGAGGGGCTCTTGATTTAGGGAATTGGATCTGTGCTCCAGTTCCCCGAATTAAGCCTGAATGCCTTCCACATCCCCCCCCTGGGCGCTGTATAATCCTACGGGTTTAGCGCTTCCCCCTTGATTATAATAATAATAATCTCGCAGTTAGGTATCGGATACACGCAACGCAACTTACAGATATCACAGAATAAAATGATCGGCATCACTCTGTGAGGGCTGTTAGGTCACACTGTCTGTCCAGCATATCTTAACAGATTGTCCTATCTATCTGAGGGCACGCAGAATACATTTCAGACATTTAAACAGCCCAAAGACACTCTTCATTGGCCTTGCTGAAAATTTTATTTTGGCACTAACCCCCATCTGCAGTGTTGTATCCTACTCTTATGATAGTTACATATGAACAAAAGCTAGTTGTTATGTTTCCCTGTCATATTCCGTCACACAGGTTGGATGTCACACATAGGTGGTGCTATTATTGCTTTCACTGAGAGAATGGGGAGCGCTAGGAGAACGTGAGGAAATCAGATTTGATTCAAGATAAGGCAGTTCCAATTCGTTGAAATAAGAGCCCTGCATCAGTATCAAGGTACCATTCTTGAAGGGCACACACGTGAGGGAATGAAATGTGTCAGACTGAGCTGGTAGACTTTAGTAGGTCAATCCACAATCCACTAGTAGGCAATCCACTATCGTACATGAAAGGTAAACAACATCAACAAGATGAAGAATTAGACACGTATGCAACATCTGGGTGTCTTTATTGGTAGACGTTTCGCCATCCAGTGGCTTTATCAACACAAATTCAAGGACATAATGGGAAGACTGTAGAACTATATACAAAGGCGATATAATCGGTCCCTCAGCCTTGGAGTTGGTGATGAGCGCCTGTGCTTCGATTCTTCAAAACTACGGTGTTCATCACCATGGCTGAGAGACTGTAGCAGTGAGTGGTTACTAAGTGATGTTATTACCTGTCTGAGTGAACCAGGCTGCCTCCACACGGTGATGCACATCCAGAGAGGAATCATGAGCATGGGCGAGGAGGTGATGAGCCAGCCAACAGCCTCTGCCCAGCCCGGGTACAGGTAGTGTGTGGGACCATTATATTCCAGCTGACCAGATATCTGGGTCTGGAGACCGATCAAGATCTGTGCAGACAGGCCATATGGAAGAACACATTTTTATTACAAGGACAAGTTTTTTGTAACAATAAGTATTTTTTTTTTCTGGAATGAAGTGAAAATTTGGAGATGGGGTGCCTAAAATCGAGGACGGTGACATAAAATGTAATTTATTTTTAAATGATTTTATTCCACTAATGTTTAAGAAAATATTGATTAATTTTACTTTAATATTACTGTGTTCAACAACATTTTGCATGAACACCCATTTTGTAGATATACATTTCCTTTAAAACCTTTACGAAAAGAGTTAAAGATTTTGAAAACATTTACATAAATTTATTCTAGACATCAAAAAGCGAGTTAAACTATAAAAAAAAACATTTTAGAAAAACAATAAGTAACATCACCGTGATGAAAAATGAAGGGGAGAGACGAATTTCGCACACACCCCATTTAAGCCTTGGTTGAAGCCCCAGCATGTGTTGTATGTCAGACAAAACCGCGAAAACCCTCCCAAGATCCAAAATTTTGTAACTTTATTTAATGTTTTATTGTTGTATATAATATTATTTATATAATATTTATATATTATATATATATTATTATATATAATTTTTATATATTTTTTAAAATTATATATATATTATTTTTTTTTTTTTTTATTATACACTGGCCGTTTCCCCCAAAGGCGGGGGGCCCCGAAAAAGAAAAACTTTCCCATCATTCACTCCCACTGTCTTGCCAGAGGGTGTTTTTCCTACAGTTTTTAAACTGCAACATTAACACCCTCCCTTTAGAGTCAGGACTGTACTTCCCCTCTCCCGGATCAGTCCGGCCTGCCGGGTTTCCGAAACCCTTATAAAAAGTTCTTTGTTACACTCCCAACAGCACGTCAATATTAAAAAAATTTTTTCTCCCTTCACTCCCATCAAACACGCTCATGATATGCTGGAAGCCAAGCCCCTCGCAACCAAAACCCCCTTTACCCCCTCTCTCCAAACCTTCCTAGGCCCACCCCCACCCGCCCTTTCCTTCCCCTACAGACGTCACTCTTGAATCTTTGTTTCGCTCCTTTTCCCCTACAGTCCCCAACCACCCCAAAACCCCTTTTCAGCCCCCCCGGACAACGTTTTGGGAATCCCCCACCCCTCCTAATTCCAAACTCGAATTCTCTGCATTTTTTAACCACACATTGCCCTCAACATGACATCTCCACTGTCCCGCCTTCTCCCGCGAAATTTATCCCCATGCTTCCCCCCCAAAAGGCGTTGTAAAAATTATCTCTACATTCCCCTCTTTGCCCAAGGGCAAAGTTCTTTGTCTCCCAGACTCCCAAAGGGCCCCTCATCTTTTTCCCTATCAAATTTTATGATTACTATTTTCATGACCCTCCGCTGACACGTCCATCCCAAATATTTAATACATTCACCTCCCCCATACTCTCTTCCCCCCAATTTTTATTCAATCTTTCATCACCTAATCTTTTTGTTATCCTATAACCTTACTCTTTCCTGTATTCACCTTTAATTTTCTTCTTTTGCACACCCTACCAAATTCATCCACCAATCTCTGCAACTTCTCTTCAGAATCTCCCAAGAGCACAGTGTCATCAGCAAAGAGCAGCTGTGACAACTCCCACTTTTTGTGTGATTCTTTATCTTTTAACTCCCCGCCTCTTGTCAAGACCCCCGCATTTACTTCTCTTACAACCCCCTCTATAAATATATTAAACAACCACGGTGACATCAACATCCTTGTCTAAGGCTACTTTTACTGGGAAATAATTTCCCTCTTTCCTACATACTCTAACTTGAGCCTCACTATCCCCGTAGAAACTCTTCACTGCTTTCAGTAACCTACCTCCTACACCATACACTTGCAACATCTGCCACATTGCCCCCTATCCACCCTGTCATACGCCTTTTCCAAATCCATAAATGCCACAAAGACCTCTTTAGCCTTATCTAAATATGTCATTTATATTTTTCATGTAAACCCCTGGTCCAACACCCCTCCCTTTTCCCTAAAGCCTCCTTGTTCATTTTGCTTTTTCTATTCTCCGTCTTACTTTAATTTTTCAAATAAAACTTACCTTTCCCATTTTAAACCAGGTATATTGCGGGACTTATTTTTTACACAATAAGATCCCCTTTAAACAGGTGTTTTAAAAATTATCCCAAAAACAACCACTCTGAAAGAATGGGAAAATTTCCCCAAGCGCTTTCGGGGACTACTCACTCAGGCAGGGTGGCCCCCCCCCCCAAAAAACAAAAGTTTCTCCTTTTACATTTAGGAATATATAAGGAGAAGGGGTTCTAGATATTTTTATATTATATAATTATTTTTAATATATTATATATATATATTTTTTATAATATATATTTTAATAAATTATATATTTAATTTTTTTCAAAAAAAGGGTCGGCCGTTCCCCCCAAAGCAGGGGCCCCCAAAAAGAAAAAAAACCCCCAAAAAATAGAAAATATTTTTAATCTTTTCAAACACTTTAAACCTCCAAAAATCATTTGTCTTTGCTAGGCCCCAAAGATACAACATTTTAGGGCATATATAAATATTTAACTCCCTCTCCAAATGCCAATTTTTTTTTCCCCCCCCCAAAAAAACGCCCCCTTTAAAGTGAGGCACTGTACTTCCTTTTTCCCAGTACTAAGTTGGCGATATAAAAACAACGGTTTCCCTGAATCCCTTCACAAAATTTTTCCCCTGCTCACACTACAACCCCTCGTCAGGTCCCAAAAAACCATTCGCCCCTTCCATTCGTTTCCACCCCTAACACGCTACACACGCTTGCTGAAAGCCCAAAAACCCCTCCCCCCAAAAAAACCTCCTTTCCCCCTTTCCCCCCAACCCTTTTTCGAAGCCGACCCCTACCCCCCCCTTTCCCTTTCCCCCTACAGATTTATCGCTCTGGGGTCATTTTACTTTGATCCATTCTTCTAAATGACCAATCCCTCAAAAACCCCCTCTTTACCCCTTTTGACAAAAACTTTTTTTAACTCCACCCCTTCCAAATTTTCCACACTCCGAATTCTCTTGCCCTTTAGACGGGAAACTTTCTCCCTGCCCCCAGCACCTCCCACTGCACCATTTGCAAAAAAAGTTCCCCCCATAAAAGAGGTTGGTACCATTATGCTTTAAACCCTTTCCCCTTCTTTGCCCCTTTGGGACAAGGGTTTTTTGTCTCCACATATACCTCAACACACGACTCACCTTTTTTCCTTCATCAGTTCTTTTGGTTTAAAAACCTTATCCTTCAAAAAACCTATCTGCTGACACGTCAACCCCCCAAATATCTAAAAATATTCACTTTTTCCCATATCCCCCCTCCCCCAATGGATACCCCAATTTTTCTTTATCTAAATCATTTTGATACTCTCACCTTACTCTTTTTCTATTTTCACTTTCAATTTTCCCCCTTTTACCCACCCAAAAAAAACCCTCTTTCTAAAACTTTTGTAACTTTTCTTCGGGAATCTCCCATAAGCACAGTACCATCAGTAAAAAGTTACGGGGTTTAAAACCCATTTTTTATTTTGATTCCCCCTTTAAATTTTAAACACAACTTTTCCCAACACCCTAGTACAGTATTTACTTCTTTTTCCCCCCCATCTATAAAATTTTTAAAAAAACCATAGTGACATTACACATCCCCTTTTTTAAGGGGGGGGCCCAATTTTAAAGGGGGAAAAAATCTCTCTCTCTTTAAAACAAACCCCAACTGAGCCCCACCTTTTATAAAAAATCTTTACAGCTTTAGTAAATTATTTTCCTTTTTCCATATACTTGTTTAAAACTGCCTCCTTTTCTCCCCCTATCCACACTATTTATGCCTTTTCTAAATCCCTTTAAAAGCAATGAAAAACTTCCCTACCTTTTAAAAATTCGTTCAATATAAACATCAATGTAAACACTTGATCTACACATTTCCCCACCCCTTAAAGCCTCCTTTCTAATTTGCAACCTACTCTCTGTCTTACCTCTAATTTTTTTCAAAAATTTCCCTACCCTACACTTTTCCCGGTTTTTCAGTAAACTTATTCCCCCATAATTTTTACAAGCTCTTTTTTTCCCCCTTCCCTTTATTTAAAGGAAAAATAAATGCTCTCTGCCAATTTCCCAGGTACCCCTTCCCCCCTTTCATACATTTATTTAAAACAAAAAAACCCAAATTTTTTGTCATGTTCCCCTCAATTCCAGTGCCTTTTTCCCCTTCTTTTTGTGTAATGCCCCCAGAAACCCCCCCACACCAAAATCCCGCTCTTTTTCACTCCCGAAAGATGTTATTCCTCCTGGGGCCCGTTCAAAGAAATTACCCCCCTCCCCTTTTTTCATCGACATTTAAAAGTTCCCCAAAATATTTCCCGCCTCTACCCAATACCCCATCTCCTCATCTACTAAAATTTCCCCCACTCAGTTTTTTTAAATGAAAAATTTCCCTTCGTTCCTAGGTTTCTTTTAAATTTTTATCTAAATCAAATTTTTTTTTATTTTTATTAAAATTTTTTTGACAGTGCCTCTCCCCTTGTCATTGCTCTCCTTTTTTCACTCACCCTTTCTTCCCCCTTTTTATACTCCCTATACCTGCTCTTTATTAAAACTTTGCTTTGTAAAAACCCCTCATAAGTACCTTTTTTTTCCTTTTTTTCCCCCCTTTACTTCATTTTATTCCCCCAATAATTCCTCTTTCCTCCCGCACTCACCCTCCATACCCCCACCCCTTTGGCCACTTCTAAATGCATTTTTAAAACTATTTCCCCAAACCCTCTTAACCCATCATACTCAAAATTGCATAGCCCCCCTTTCTGCCCTTTGTTGCTTATATCCACCCTAATTCCCCCTCCTTTAGTTTTAAAAAACTTTCACCTCTCTCTTAAATTTTTGCCCTTTTTTCCTTTTTTTTCCCCTTTTACCTCTTACTTAAATGTAGCTAAAACTAAATTTTGACAGAAAATTTTCAGTTGCCCCTCTATAAACATGTTTCTTCCTGAAGCCCTTTTAATCAACTTTTTATCCACCAATAATAATTTTTACAAACTACTTTAAATTTGTACTATATCATTTCCTTGGGTTTTTTTTTTTTTTCCTCTTTTTTATTAAAATTTTTGTATTACTGATTACCCCAAAACCCCTTTTTAACCTGGCCCCAAATTTAAAGGGTCCCCATTTTCATTTACCCCTGGCCCCCCAAATTTACCTTTCTTTTTCCCCCTTTAAATTTTTTCCCACTTTAGCACTGAGATCCCCAACCACAAGTACTCTCACACTTGGTTCAAAACTCCCCACGCACTCAACATTTCCCAAAATCTCTCTCTCTCTACACTTCTCTCTTCTCCAGGTGCATAAACGCTTACTATAACCCACTTTTCACATCCAACCCTTATTTTACTCCACATAATCCTTGAATTTAAACATTTATATTCCCTCTTTTCCTGCCATAACTTATCCTTCAACATTATTGCTACTCCTTCTTTAGCTCTAACTCTATTAGAAACCCCTGACCTAATCCCATTTATTTCTCCCCACTGAAACTCTCCCACCCCCTTCAGCTTTGTTTCACTTAAAGCCAGGACATCCAGCTTCTTCTCATTCATAACATCCACAATCTCAACTCAAATACGACCAGAACTGCGGTAAGATAGGAAGAAGGATGGGGAAGGATGGAAATACTGGAAAACGATGGGAGGGTGGAGGAGAGGAGGTTAAGAAAGGTAAATGGCGCAAGTGGTCTATGGCGCAAGTGGTGTAAGATCTTCATTGCAGTAGGAGTACCTTGTCTGCTTCTTCATCATCAAGAAAGGTGACAATGAAAGCTTCTTTCAGAGAAGTAACTTTCGAGAACTTGACTTGCAGACTGGTGTTGAGAGAGGACGCAAGTTCAAGCTTCGTGGCGTCGTTGATGACAGAAGTCTTGGATTTAATCCTCACACGATGAGACATCGTGGAGGTGGTAGAGGTTCCCCTCCCCAACGGGGATTGTAAGGAGACTGTTTGACAGGAGCATGAGCGTCTGTGACCATACATGACGAAGTCTACAAAGCGAATCTGTGTATCATCCACAATCATCTCTTTCTTATCATTCGCACAATATCCACGCACATTCAAACATCTCTCTTTGACGGTTTTCTTCTTTTTCTTTTTAGTAGGCTATACTGGAAAAGGGGTTACTAGCCAATTGTTCCCGACATTTTAGTTGACTTTTACAACACGCATGGCTTACAGAGGAAAGATTCTTATTCCACTTCCCCATGGATATGAAAGGAAAAGCAATAAGAACAAGAACAATCAAGATAAAATCAAAGAAAACTCATACTGTGTATACATAAACGTGTACATGTATGTGTAGTGTGACCTAAGTGTAAGTAAAAGTAGCAAGACGTACCTGAAATCTTGCATGGTTCTCCTTTACCATGAAAACTTGGTTGATATGACTTCTCTTAAGACTTTTAATATCAAAGTTGTATTTAAAAATCTTGATACAGTAAAAAAAACTTTTGATAAAGAATTCCCCCTCAAAATGCTGACGGATGTGTCTATAAGATTCCTTGTAAAATTTGCGATAAAGTTTATTACGGTCAAACTGGTAAAAGTCTCGAACTTAGATTAAAACAACATAAATATAGCATTAGAACTGGACAAGATTCCAATGCTCTATTTATTCATGTGAGAGACTTTAACCATCCAATTGATTTTCAAAAAGTTGAGAAAGTTGTATCAAGCAAGTCCATGGTTGACAGAAATATAATTGAATCTTGTTTCATAAAAAGCAGTTTTGAAAATAATATGAGTATTTCCTTAGGTTTATATAAATTAGATTCATTTATAATTAATAAAATTTGGTTAGAGTTTAATAATACATTGGACAAATAATAAACCTTATTTCTTGGGTAGAATAATTTGTTAGTGGGATGTCGTGAGGACCTGTCTAGTTGGACCAGCGGACCTACTGCAGTGTTCCTCTTTTCTTATGAGTCCGGTATTGTCCCGCGTAAGGTGTTTCTTTGTTGTGGGAGTTGACTGAGGTGTGGTCTAAGCCCTTTAATTGTGAGTAGTCACGAAAGCGCTTAGAATTTCATTACTCTTTCACAGTGGTTGTTTTGCATATTTTAAAATCACCTGTTTACTGTGATCTTATTGCTATATATATATATATATATATATATATATATATATATATATATATATATATATATATAATATATATATATATATATATTATATATATATATATATATAAAACACATATATAGTGACCCAAAAAGAAGAAACGCTTTCACCATCACTGTCTTGCCACAGAGGCGCCGATACTACAGTTCAAAACTACAAGACACTAATTCAAATTCAAATTCAAAGTTTATTCTCTATAAAGATTACAATGTTGAATTTACAGAATTTGGTTGTGTGGTTTACATGTAGTTAAATAATGATTACAGAGTGTACCACTAGAACGCCTAGCATGGCTAGGCATTTCGGGCAGACTTAGTTTAATTCTTT